CAGAGCACGCCAGGCCCTCCTGTCTTCTACTGCCTCCCGGAGTTGTGTCAGGTTCATGTTGGTTGCTTCGCAGACACTGTCCAGCCATCTCATCCTCGGTCGTCCCCTTCTCCTCTTGCCATCACACCTTCCTAACATCAAGGTTTTTTCCAAGGACTCTTTTCTTCTCATGAGATGGCCAAAGTACTGGAGCCTCAGCTTCAGGATCTGTCCTTCAAGTGAGCATTCAGGGTTGATTTCCTTTAGAACTGATAGGTTTGTTCTCCTTGCAGGCCAGGTGATTCTCAAGAGCCTCCTCCAGCACCACAATTCAAAGGCATCAATTCTTCGGCGGTCTGCTTTCTTTATGGTCCAGCTCTCACTTCCATACATCACAACAGGAAAAACCATAGCTTTGACTATTCGGACTTTTGTTGGCAAGGTGATGTCTCTGCTTTTCAAGATGCTGTCAAGATTTGTCATCGCTTTCCTCCCAAGAAGAAGGCGCCTTTTAATTTCAGGGCTGCTGTCTCCATCTGAAGTAATCATGGAGCCCAGGAAGATAAAATTTGACACTGCCTCCATATCTTCCCCTTCTATTTCCCAGGAGGTGATGGGACCAGTGGCCATGATCTTAGTTTTTTTGATGTTGAGTTTCAGACCATTTTTTGCACTCTCCTCTTTCACTCTCATTACAAGGTTCTTCAATTCCTCCTCACTTTCTGCCATCAGAGTGGTATCATCTGCATATCGGAGGTTGTTGATATTTCTTCCGGCAATCTTAATTCCGGCTTGGGTTTCTTCCAGTCCAGCCTTCCGCATGATGTATTCTGCATATAAGTTAAATAAGCTGGGGGACAATATACAGCCTTGCCGTACTCCTTTCCCAATTTTGAACCAATCAGTTGTTCCATGACCAGTTCTAACTGTTGCTTCCTGTCCCACATATAGGTTTCTCAGGAGACAGATAAAGTGGTCAGGCACTCCCATTTCTTTAAGAACTTGCCATAGTCTGCTGTGGTCCACACAGTCAAAGGCTTTCGCATAGTCAATGAAGCAGAAGTAGATATTTTTCTGGAACTCTCTGGCTTTCTCCATAATCCAGCGCAAGTTAGCAATTTGGTCTCGAGTTCCTCTGCCTCTTCGGAATCCAGCTTGTACTTCTGGGAGTTCTCGGTCCACATACTGCTGAAGCCTACCTTGCAGGATTTTGAGCATAACCTTGCTAGCGTGCGAAATGAGTGCAATTGTACGGTAGTTGGAGCATTCTTTGGCACTGCCTTTCTTTGGGATTGGGATGTAGACTGATCTTTTCCAATCCTCTGGCCACTGTTGAGTTTTCCAAACTTGCTGGCATATTGAATGTAGCACCTTAACAGCATCATCTTTCAAGATTTTAAATAGTTCAACTGGAATGCCATCACCTCCACTGGCCTTGTTGTTAGCCAGGCTTTCTAAGGCCCACTTGACTTCACTCTCCAGGATGTCTGGCTCAAGGTCAGCAACTACATTGTCTGCATTGTCCGGGATATCCAAATCTTTCCGATATAATTCCTCTGTGTATTCTTGCCACCTCGTCTTGACGTCTTCTGCTTCTGTTAGGTCCCTCCCATTTTTGTCTTTTATCATGTTCATCTTTGCGCAAAATGTTCCTCTAATATGTCCAATTTTCCTGAACAGATCTCTGGTCTTTCCTTTTCTGTTATCTTCCTCTATTTCTTTGCATTGTTCATTTAAGAAGGCCCTCTTGTCTCTCCTTGCTATTCTTTGGAAGTCTGAATTCAAGTTTCTGTAACTTTCCCTATCTCCCTTGCATTTTGCTTCCCTTCTCCTCTCTGCTATTTCTAAGGCCTCGTTGGACAGCCACTTTACTTTCTTGCATTTCCTTTTCTTTGGGATGGTTTTCGTTGCTGCCTCCTGGACAATGTTACGAGCCTCTATCCAAAGTTCTTCAGGCACTCTGTCCACCAAATCTAGTTCCTTAAATCTGTTCTTTACTTCCACTGTGTATTCATAAGGGATTTGGTTTAGATTATACCTGAGTGGCCCAGTGGTTTTTCCTAATCTCTTCAGTCTAAGCTTGAATTTTGCTATGAGAAGCTGATGATCAGAACCGCAGTCAGCTCCAGGTCTTGTTTTTGCTGACTGTATAGAGCTTCTCCATCTTTGGCTGCAGAGAATATAATCAATCTGATTTCGATATTGCCCATCTGGTGATTTCCATGTATAGAGTCGCCTCTTGTGTTGTTGGAAAAGAGTGTTTGTGATGACCAGCTTATTCTCTTGACAAAACTCTATTAGCCTTTGTCCTGCTTCGTTCTGAACTCCAAGGCCAAACTTCCCTGTTGTTCCTTTTATCTCTTGGCTCCCTACTTTAGCATTCCAGTCCCCTAGAATGAGAAGAACATCTTTCTTTGGTGTCAGTTCTAGAAGGTGTTGTAAATCTTCATAGAATTGTTCAATTTCAGTCTCCTCAGCAATGCTGGTTGGTGCATAAACTTGGATTATTGTGATGTTGAAAGGTCTGCCTTGGATTCGTATTGACATCATTCTATCATTTTTGAGATTGTATTAGAGAGTGGATTGGGAGTCTTCAGACTGCCTGGTACTGCCTGGACTGTATTTTCCCTGCCTTCCCTGAACCTTTCTTGACCTAAGAAAAAAAGCAACAAAATATCCCCCTCTAGTGGTCGAAGGCGGAATAGCAGCTTCCCATTAGTTTCTATGGACGGAAAAGAGCAGATACAGATCAAATGGTTTTCAATGCATTCCTATGAGAAATGCAGATTTGACCTGAGAACTTTTTGACTTGAGAACCGCCTTCCAATACGGATTAAGTTCTCAAGTCAAGACCCCACTGTATGTTGAATGGTAGATTTTTTTTTTTAATTTAAAAGGAACTGAAAATTTGGTGAACAGAAGGATGTTATTAAGGTTAAATAATAGTTTTACCTGATCTAACACATAGCAGGCTTTTTGAACAGTGGAGAAATTTTAAGAGCATTTAAATGTGCCTATAGATATTTTAAAGACTGCAGTGGGAGCAAAGACAAATGTTGGAACTAAAAAAAAATACTGGATCTCTGGCATCTAAATAATGAAAGAAATTTAAGAAGTGTAATTCAGCATTATGAATTATCTTCTTGGGTACAGTATTGAAAAGGAAGAAATGCATCAAAAGGAGCCAGAGGAAAAGCATGAAGTTCATAACAATAAAAAGAGTGCTGAGGAGAGACAGCTATTGCAATGCAACAACAATTCACACATTTGTCCTGAAGGAAGCCTTGATATTTTGTAAATACTATATTGTCGCCCTCCCTCCTCCACCACATTTTTTGGTTTTAAAAGCAGTGCGAGCATGAAGACATTTCTGCAGGCCTATACATAGTCATTTGATTAAACATAGGCCAGGATCCAGTTCATGGGACCATAAGATAAAGTTAAACTGGCATAACTTTTCCAGGTATTACACCCAGGCAAGACAGATTGAAACATATGACTGTGCAGTCCATTGTGTGATTCCCTTTGCCACCAGTTGTGTAATGGGTCTGCAGAAGTGCTTTGATAGCAGTTACATGCTTAGCTCCAGGACATTGATGTGGCATATGTACCTTTGCCCTCCAACAAAGAGGGGGGCACATGAAGTACAATTGGGAGGTTCCTACTGTTATCTTCCAGCATCTACTGGCTAAGGCAGCTGCCTCACTTTGCCTAATGGTGGGGCCAGCCCTGTTTCAGATGCTCATGAAACTCCCACTGGTGGCTTTATCATTTCTACAGGCAATGGGCTGTTAGTGGGAATTGTATGTTCACCCTTAAATTTTCTTTGTAAAATCCACGCAACTCCCTTAAGGAAAACACTGGAATATTTTAATTCCCTACATTTATTAATGGCATTTGGTTGTAACTGAGGATAAACTCCCTGGCTTCCCAAAAAAATGAACTTTTCAAGTGCTAGCAGTGGATGCTTGAAAAATGCCTTTAGAATTTCCCCACTCCCTGTGGCATGTAATTTAAATAAATACTGGGGGTGGGGGTGGGGATCCAGTTTTCTCTCTTTTTTCCTATTGCCTTGCCCATCATAAGGCTTTTTGCAAAGAGAAATGGATCAAGGGACTGCTTTCTAGAAAGAAATCTTTCTCCCAGGTCTTTTTGGCTGTTCATAACTTTTCTGCTGTTATGAGCTGTCGGGTCACTTTCATAGGAAGTATCTTATGAATTAGTCCCCTCCAAAAGGTCCAGTCATTTACAGCTCTGCCCAGCTCTTGCAAACTCAAGGTCATGGCTTCCTTTATTGAGTCAATCAATCTTATGTCCATTTTTTCTCTTTTTCAGTTGCCATCAGCTTCTGTAGCTTTATTGTCTTTTCCAGTGTATCTTGTCTTCTCATGATGTGCCTAAAGCACAACAAATTCAGTTCCTTGTTTCCAGGGATTGTTTAGGCTTAATTTGATTCAGCATCCATAGCTGTCAAAACTCGGCCATCAAGGTCCATGATATTTGACAGGGAACTATGTTGTGCATGTAATTTGCTAGAGAGAATTCTCAGCTTTTTTCCCCCAGTGCAATGGAGGGCTATGCAATTTTTCTCTCCTCTTCCCTGAGTTAACATCTTTTTCTTTGACAGGGGTATGCGAGATGGACTGTAGAAAAGTTGCAGAAGTGTGGTATAAGAGTTGGTCTTAACTGTAAGAGGAATGGTTTGAAAGAAAATCATTATATGAAAGTGGGGGATGGATTCCCCATACTTAGCAAGAACTCTTTATGTTGATGTACATCTCTCTGTGTGAACTAAGTTTTAGATTGAATCAAAATGATCTGTCATTTTGCCACCATATTTGTTGATAATAAAATACGTGGAACCCACATTTTCCTTCTATTTCTAAACTTGCATTAACATTTAATTTTTATATCACCTAGGTTCTGACATGAGGCAAACATTGCTAGAGCTTGTTCTAGACTTGAACGTGTAATTCTTATGCAAATTTTTAACAGATACTATTTTGTTTGTCTATTTCCAGGGATCCCAACCAACCCGTTCCCCAGGATACAAAGTTTATCCATACAAAACCCAACCGTTTTGAAGAAGTGGCCTGGTCCAAATATAATCCAAAAGACCAACTTTATTTACACATTGGCTTGAAACCCAGAGTTCGAGATCATTACCGAGCAACAAAAGTCGCTTTCTGGCTAGAACTTGTACCACATCTGCACAACTTGAATGAAATATTTCAGTATGTCTCTACAACAACTAAGGTGCCACCTCCTGATATGACATCATTTCCCTATGGTACCAAGCGCTCTGGAAAATTTACCACCAAACGCCCATTAATGACACCAAGCAACAATCCGAAGCACTCAAAAGAAACACAGAAGACATCCCCAGAGGATACAAGTGTTCTGATAGAAAACAAGAGGGATTATTCCACAGAGTTGAGTGTTACCATTGCTGTGGGTGCATCATTATTGTTCCTCAACATCTTAGCATTTGCAGCACTGTATTATAAGAAAGATAAGCGTCGTCATGAGACGCACAGGCGCCCCAGTCCTCAACGGAACACAACCAATGATATCGCCCATATACAAAATGAAGAGATCATGTCACTGCAGATGAAACAGCTGGAGCACGACCATGAGTGTGAGTCCTTACAGGCACATGATACCCTGAGACTCACCTGCCCACCTGATTATACTCTCACTCTTCGAAGATCTCCAGATGACATTCCACTGATGACACCCAACACCATAACCATGATTCCAAATACATTAACAGGGATGCAGCCCTTGCATACTTTCAACACTTTCAGCGGAGGACAAAACAGTACTAATTTGCCCCATGGACATTCCACCACTAGGGTATAGCTCTATCATTTGCCCCACCCACCCCATGCCACCTGGAAGATTAAAAATAAGAAAAGGAAAGAAAATTATATATAAAAAATTAAAATTAAAAAAAATCATGTTCTCCATCCAGCACTTGTCAAAATAGAAAGGTGAAAGAGAAAGGCAGATGTAATTTTCTTACAGCTCCTTTCCATAGGAACTCTGATATTCTAAACATCACCTTCTCAAACCCTGTGAAATGTGAAATGTGTACATTGCTATCAGGATACTGCTTTAATATCTCAACCACTTTGATTGAAAGTTAGTAGTTGAGGCCTGAGGAAAGTCACTTAGAAAAGGATATGTATTGAGTGTAACAAAAAAGGAGCAGAAACGTCTGAAATACAGAGCCAGTGACTGTACAGTTTTTTTAATAAATAAAATTTTAAAAAAATGTTCTATATGTGCCATACCGTGAATGGCCCTTGTTATACAAAAGACATCACCATGGGCTTTTACCCATCATAAGAAGCTGTAACCCAGAAGGGGGAAAATAAGATTTTATTATTAAAAAAAAAGTAGGACTGACTATGCAGTAAATACGTATAGTTCTGTGCAAAGAGATGACTTGCCAGCCTGAACTATATTTAAGAAACTTTGTAAAAAAAAGTGTACATAGCTGTGAGTTTAAAAAGAAGAAGCTTTTATTGATGTTTTCAGTTCCAAAAGAGCTTTTAGAAAGATTGTGCTTTCAGTTGTGATCTATGTGTATAAACATTAGTCATATCACCTCTGTTTCCTGCCAGAACAAAAGGAGGACTTTCTTCTTAATTACTAGTGGTAAACCAAGACATGAGGTTTTTTTTCCTAATGTTTCATTTCTAGGAGGACGTGGTGTTCCATACAGAGGATACAGGTGACTGTGCGGCCTGCCAGCTTTTCCTTTACAGGTTACACATGTGCATGTTAAGGCATTCATAGGTAGGAAACAGGTTTCTTTTCTTGTGAGGGGAAAACACACACACCTCTTTTTCTCCCTTTTCTTTCAGATTTTTGTGTTAGCCTTCTTTGTATTGCTCCACAGAGACAAAATGGAAGAATTATAAACGCTTATTCAATTGAGCTTAGAGTCCTACTTTGGCATTCCTGGTATTTGTTATGCCATGAAACATTGCTTCTGGATTGTGAGTTCCCTGATGCATTTTAAGAAACCCTGCCTTTTTTGTAAATCTTTTTCTGAGGGAAATTAGTTCTGCCTGTACAAGGGATCTGCAGAAGAGGTTGAGTTAAAAACACCATCGTGTGGAATAGGGGGAAGACACAGGTGGAAGATGAGCAAGAATTACTTCCAATTCCTATTGCCTCAATAAAGAGAAAGGAAAGATCTAGAATGACGGTTATATAACCCCTTTGACCCATCAGTTAGTTTTAACTGAGCCCACTATTTTTGGTGCTTAATTTTGTCACATCACAGAACAGATGGATGCCTCAGAGAACTAGGAAGAAACCATATCAAATGTACAATAGGTGAGTTGCCTTGAAGAAGCTGGATCATTCCACTGGTCTAAAACATTATTTATTTATTTTGGGGGCGTCCTCTAAACTTCATTCCCCTTAATAGGGAGTTTTGACATGAAATGCAGCTGGCCCAACAACACTGTTGGCCATTCTGTGTAATGTTTAAAAATGATTCCGCTACTATAAAGATAGAACCAAGTTATTGATAAGCAAAGAATGATCTATATTTTATCTTTAGTAAACTAAAGTTAAAGATGGTAACCAAAGATATTTGAACAGACTTGCTCTGCACAAGACCATATCTCTCCCAGGATGTATATTGCATTTTTCCTTCCTTGTGCTGAGAATGGCACAGCACTGCTGTCTTATCATCACCAGATATTCACATCTGACACAAGATGCCTTCTGCCTTTAAAATAGACAGCTTGTGACATTCTAGCTTATAGGTACCTTCACATCTCACTGGTTGTGTGTTACACACAGCTCTGTTGTGCTCCTTCTGGTAGAATAAGACGATCCTGACAGTAGCAAAACCTGGGTTAGCGACACAGTAAAATTGCTCATGTGACCCATACTGCAATCTTACTTGTTAGAAAATGAAATCAATATATGCTTCCCTTTTGCTTCCAGGTGAGATTTTTAAATGAGCTCCACTTTTCGCCCAATAATAAAAGGCAAACTTTTTGCCTTCACTGCTCTTTACCGTAACTATAATCTTGATTAAAGCTGGATCTATTCCGTGCCATCATCACAACCAACGCATTGCCTCCACTAAGACACAGCAATTCTTCATGACTCGGGGGGTTTAAAAAAAAAAAAGGAAAATGATGGCATCTTATTCAGTTGGGTATGTTTGTTATGTGAATTACAGTATTTGTTTAGTACTTCCAGTTGTCTACTGCTAGCAATATGTACAGTACTGTGTCAGGCTTGTGACATTTGGGTAAAACCGTTTCTGTAAGTGAATGATTTTAGCATTTAAAAAAGAAAAAAAGACAATGATGTCACTTTAATAATTTAATACGTCTGGACAGATGTATGATTTATAAATGGAAATTTTTAGGCTCTTCATAGGATTCTATAATAATAACAACAACGTATACTTTGAAGAAAAGGGGGGACAAAAGGAACTATCCCAGACTTTTCTTCTTGACCTTAAGAGGCACGCAGGGTTTCTTTTGTTATTGTTTCTGCATTTTTCTTTCTTTTTGGTTTTGCCTTAAAGTAAGGACAGAAGATATATATGGCTGGACACATATGTATAAACTTTTCAGCAGCATTTTTAATAATAAAATATCACAGTATTTTCTAATGCTTTGTGCAAATAATTATGTGTTCATCTTTCTTTCAGTAAAGGGGGAAAATCATTTTAAACACCTTAAAATTTGCCTTAACTCTCAAGTCTACAAAGAGCCTGGCCATAAGACTACAAAGTGCTAAAACCGATTAACTGTGTGTGGGTTATTATTGTCATTTGCATTTCTATAAGTCTGTTGCTAATATGATGGAACGAAGACCAGATGTTGACAATCTGAACTGCTAAACAGCAAGCATTATTTATTATTACCTACAAATTGTCACTTTTCTAAAATCTTAAGTGAACATTAAATGCTTTAAGCGTGTCACCAGCAAATTAAGATACTGTATTAGTCTCTTACCTAAGTATTAGCATCTCAGTATTGTACTTTATATTACACTGTGTCAAGGAACATGTGAGGCATATTAAAAAATAGTGGGCTACCTAGCTGAATGCCATCTACCTCAGCTTTCCACAAGCTGGTGCCATCCAGATAAAATACAGCTCCTACCATCTTGGCCAGTAGTCATGAACTGTGGGAAATGTTATGCAAAATTTGTACTTTGGACAGGAACAGGTTGCAGAAGCCTGATCTACAATGACTGACATTGGCTTTCTAGATTTCATGTTGTGGGTAGATGGTCTATCTGAAAGTGCCAGCCAGTAAACGTGGAAGCTTCCTCTGATTTACAAGTCTGTGTTAGAAGCAATGGGACTCCATGCCAGGTACTGAAATCCTTGACTAGGATTCCCACAAAACAGACACTTGGTCCTAATTGCTAGGTTTTCAAATTAGAGACTATTCTGAGAAAGAAAAATTGTCCATTACTGTTACTGATAAATGTTTAGAACTCTTAAAGTACAACTTTAATACATTCTTTGCAAGTTTTGATCAAAACTGGGTCCAGAGTAAATAGGTGACATTGATCCAGAGAACTGTTAAGAAAAAATAATCTATAAGTGAGTAATTAAATATGTGAGAAAGCATTCTGTGTCCAACCCTTGTCTACGGAGTTCATCTATCCGCAGGTTTACAGTCCTCAGAGGTTAAGTGTGTGAATTAATGGTGCACACTTAATTTTTTTCCCCTGTGACTCAAGGTGTGAGTCCTATATTTTACATAGTTTCAGTATGAATTCCTTCAATAACTATGAAATGATGTTAAAGACATCTGATAGTAGATTCTGTGGTTGTAATCTATACATATTCACCTTTTGTGTAAACAGTAGTGTGACAAATACGTATACGTTGTCAGGAAGAAACACTCTTCTATATGGTCTCAAGTATGAGGCTTCTGATGTTTAGGATATGCATGATTTAGTTTAGTTCAGATTTGATGCTTCCAAAAAGGGTCCATTTCAACTCAAAGTGATTCAGAAACAGCCTACTGTGACAGGTTCCAAACCTGAACTGAAATGAGGAAGCTGTATGCCTTCTGTTGACTGGAGTGGGAACAATCCAGAATTATCTTTTTTCATCCAGATTGGAAGAAATGATCTGGAATACACACAGTGGGTGCATGGTTTTTAAAATCTATTATATGTCTTTCAGTTTTAGTTTTAAAAAAAAGAACTACTAATAAACTGTTGAGTTTTTTTGCCAAAACTAGAAAAAAATGATAGGACCATTATAAAGCAAACTTCTGATAAATAGGTGGTGAGATTTTTACGCAAGAACAGTCTTCATTTTATTTATTTTTTAAAAATAAAAAGGATGATGTTGCCTCAATTTTATATCCTGGTTCTCGTTCTGAAAATGCCACCATCAAGAAGATTCTAACCATGAGTCAGTTCTTCCAAAACTGGCATATTTCAGGTGACGCTAGTCCCTTTTGGGGACTGTTTGTACAAAAAAGGGCACACAGGACAGGAAAGTCCTCAGATCAGAACGCTTCAGTTTCAGAATGAGAATTGAAGGTGCTAGAGAGTTATGATGCATGAAAAGGCATTTAAAATAGGGACATGGTAGATAATGGCAGTGTTGACTATCTCATTACCCCTTCTTTGCCCCCTGTAAGATTCATTTATTCAAAAGCCCCTCATTAAAAGCATTCTAGATTCTGCCACACTCACTCACTCCCTATCTTTCCCATCCCACCCATTCTTACACACTAGACGTACGAAACAGAAACTCCAAATAAAGCTTCCACCAGGGTTCAATTTCAGTTCTTGTCATTTTGGAAGGAATGCGCAGAAATGGTCCAGAGAGACTTCAGGCTTGCCTGAGCACAGTGCATATATCAGTATGAGCAGCACTGGACTCCCTCTTTTATGTTTTTGTCTCACAGAGAAATATAAGCACTCTGTTATCAATAATACTTAGTCAGTTTTGTCCAGATTTTTCAGCTGAAAAATAACTGCTGGGTAGGTAGCCCAATGGTTTAAGTCTCTGACTATGGAACCAGAGACTGCAAGTTCAATTCCCCATTGTGCCTCGTCGACAGGCACTGGACTCAGTGATCCATAGGGTCCCTTCCAGCTCTGCAGTTCTCAAAGGATGATGACAATGATAAAGACAAATTGAAAGCAAAAAATCATACTGCACATGTATTGCAATCAAAATATTACAAATTGCACTTGACACCACATTATCTAATAAAAAGACATATATGAGCTTGTGGAAGACAATAAAGTGCAAATATAATGTTCAGGAAATAAGCAGGAGGAAGAAACTTATTATGTGATGATGACCAAACGTTTTTAGATTAAATCAAAGTTTGAAAGTTGTGGCAACCCACTCCTAATAGTATGTTTTAAATTCAGTACTTTTGGGATAATATGCCTGTGAAAACAACAAAAGTACTCTCCTTTTGCTTCTTATTTATTTATTGAATTTGTATCCCCGCACCATCTGGCAACCAGGCCACTCTGGGTGGCTAACAACAGTGTGAGCAACAATATTAAAAAGCGATAAAAAATAAATTAATACATAGCCAAATAGGGTAAATTAAAACAGATGGCAATGAAGGTGGTAAAAAGGATGATGGAGAGGATGGCAAAAAGGAGGGTGAAATTATGGATGTAACACAATAGACACGTGAAAGAAACACTGAAAACAAGCAAAACTAGAAAGATCTGTCTGTAGGTCAAGGTGAGGCTAATCAGGTCAAGTAATTACAGGCCTTTTGTTTTAAATATAATGTGAATATATAAGAAAAGAATATACTATTAAATAAAAAAAATCTGGCATGTAACTGGGCATTTCCACACCTGTAAATTTTCATCAAGTGTGGAATTCGGTGGGATTTCTCCTGACATCCAAACAGTGTTTTCCCCTGCTCTCACTATGCAGAGGTACGCACAGAGGTTTTTTTGTTTGTGTTCCACACCTTTTCCCCTTTCTCCAACTCCTTGGTTTATTTTGCACCTCCTTGTGGCACTCTCCAATCTGAAGCTATCTATCTATCTATCTATCTATCTATCTATCTATCTATCTATCTATCTATCTATCTATCTATCTATCTATCTATCTATCTATCTATCTATCTATCTATCTATCACGTTTCGCCACTCTCTGTGGCCGGCATCTTCAGAGGACAGCACTCTGTGCTCTGGTGTAGTTGGCTTGGGAGTGGGGATCACAACACACAAAAGACCAGCTAATGACACCCATTAACCACAGTGACAGATACTCTCTCCTTCTTATCACAACAATACACCCACAACAAGACACACTAATCGCCCATCCACAGAAAAAGACAAAAGCCCATCTCACAGCCATAAATACTCCACTCCCAAGCCAACCACCGGCCACAGAGGCTGGCGAAACGTTAGGAAGAACAACCTTCAGAACACGGCCAAAGAGCCCGAAAAACCCACAACTACTATTTATTTATTTATCTATCTATCCATCTGTTTTTCCCCTTTTAAAAGAAACCTACTGCCTACATCCAAAAGGTGTGAGAGAGTTTAGTGTGTGCTCAAGATTGGAACTAGCAGCCCAAGAGAAATCCGATTTGTGTTGAGAGAATGAGGGTCACACACAAGAGACTTTGAAGGATGTGCAGCTGCCCTTCCTGGCATGTTGTAATGGAGAAGCAGTTCACTGAAAGATCATCACAGGCAGGAGACATACCCAATAAATCCTGATAAAACCTATGAAGGTTTGTTTGCAAGTAACAGAGAAGGAAATGGAGGGGGGGGGAATAGCTCATTTGGAAGATGCTAAGCATTCTGTCCTTATCATGAGAATTCATTTTGTATGGCAGAACATCTCCTAAGAGGCTGTTCCAGAAAAAAAAACCACACTCTCTACATTTATAGCCAATGTGATATTGGAAAGTGTCAAGCTGTATTATTCACACTAGCAGCTTATGATATAATTGCTCCTAAAAGTCTGTCACAAAGAAAATATTGCATACATCTGACCTCTGTTTCTAGGAAGCACTAGGAATGACATTATAGTAAACTCTACAGTCCTTGCCCAGGTGCTCAGTTGCAGACTTGAGGACTTAAAGTGGGGTGAGGGACGGAAGGCCTGCAAATACTGCCACTGGCTGTTCTTAATGTTGTCTTAAACTACGATGTCTGAAGGGCAGTTCTGTTATTAGCATATCAGCAAGCAAGCTGCTTTATGGAGGAGGGTCTACCTTTGAGCATAAGTGGTAGTTCTGCTCCTGTTTAAGTGAACCCAAGGAGAAGCCTACTCTACAGCTTATTGCTTAATGTGGCAAGCTTGGTATGAGAGAGGGCAACTATAAACAAGTGGGGCTCTTATCCTCCTCCCCTGTTTAGCCCTTACATGTGCAGGCCTAGCATCTAGGCCTGCACATCTAGGTTTGATTCCTATCAGCGAGATGAAGCATGCACTGCTACTTGGATCAGCTTAAGAGTGACAAGGAACTAGCCCCAATCCAGCAATGTTTAATATTTAAGGAAGGTTTTGGATAAAAGTAGGGCAACATGTGGCCCCCCAGTATGCCCATGCCACCCTCCAAAATATTATTTTAAAAATGAGGAGTTCAAAACTTCCCTTTGTGCTCCCTACGAAGTATGACAGCCAATTTTGCCATGTTTTGAGAAGTCCTCGTCC